GGGCCCGGGCTGCTGTAATTCATTGGAGGGGCAATGGACCGGAGTCGTGACTTAGGGGATGTGGTTGCATTCTGGATGTGTGTTTCTAATTTTTCTTTCTTTTTAGTTTTGTTCCTCACCCAATAAGGGTTTTAGAAACAGGAAGGAAGAAGATGAGAGAGAGAGAGGAAAATTGATACGAGGGTTCCATGGGTTCCCTCTTGTATGTGCCCTGACCTGGAATCGAACCCACCCCTTTTGGTGTGCAAGAGGACGTTCCAATCAGCTGAGCCAGTCAGAGTTGTATGTGTATTTTTTAAAACGGCAGCTCTGGCAACCTATCTGGTTTTGTTCAGTGGTTAGAGCGTCAGCCTGCGGACTGAAGGGTCTCAGGTTCGATTCTGGTCAAGGGCATGTACCTTTCAGATGGGTAGATTGGGAAGGGGAAAGGATTCTAGGTTCTCAGTATAGGAGCTTTTTGTGGTTTTATTTGTCCCCATCATGCCAGGGCAGAGTGACCTTTGAGGACGTGGCTGTGTACTTCTCCTTGGAAGAATGGGAGCTCCTCGATGAGGCTCAGAGACGTCTGTACCACGATGTGATGCTGGCGAACTTGGCACTTACAACTTCCTTGGGTAAGGTTTTCAAATTCACCCCTGTGCTGTGAACAAGTAGTCTCTGCCCTTCCCTTTTTCCCCAGGAGCAGGTCTATCCTCGCACCAGAACCATGGGCACTGCTTTCTTCCCCAGATCCCTGGTTAGGTACTGGGTTGAGTTGAGGTGTGTGCACCGCCCTCTCCTTCCTTGATCAGCCCCAGCACCTGCTTCTCTGCAGCCTCGCAGGGAAGGAATCTTCCATTGAACCTAATGGATACCACCTTACTTGCCTTCTTGAAAAAATGACTTTGCCCAGATCCAAGGTACCTGTGTGCCTAGGTTCTGCTTCTTTCTTCTAGCTCACATTTCCTCAGGCCTGCCTGTGCCAGGAATTGCCATCATGACATGGTTACTCCTTACATGGACCATGACCTCTTCTTGCAAGAGCTTCTTTCGATGTTTTCTGTGGAGTAGTTAGTTTTTTTTAAATGTTTTTATTGACTTTTTCTAAGGGAAAGGAAGGAAGAGGGATAGAAAGAAACGATGAGAGAGAAACTTTTATTGATTGGCTGGCTTCTGCACCCCCTCTGCTGGGGATCAAGGCACAACCCAGGCCTTGACTGGTGCCGTGACTGGGAATCCAACAAGTGACCTCTTTTTCCCTGGTCTACTTCAACCACTGAGCCACACCGGCTGGATAGTTTTCTTTGCTGTTGGCTATCAAGTGCTGAGTTGTTCAGGGCTAGTGCTGGGTACTCATCTGTGCTTGCCTTCCCTTAGTACTTGTATAAGCCATGCACTTGCTTATTATTGAAGGAGTTGGGTTGGGTGGAAAGCAGTGGTTCACAGGATGTATATGACCAGGCTCAGCAAAGGCTCAGAGGGTGCCTGGCCTTCAGGAGTGGCATGTAGAGGAGGGTGTGATGCAAGGCTGTGTTGAAATCACACCAAACATCTATTCTGTTGGACTAGTATTTTAACGCCCATATCTGTCTCTCCTACCCCTGTCTTTACACTTGCCGATTTGTCAACCCTATCACTTGTCACTTCTACTCTCACTTCCAGCCTGCGATTAACCTCACTGCTTTGCACTCTGTGTCTTACCTGTTTTTCTCACCACTCCATCTGTAGTGCTTTCCTTGTTGGCCCCTATGTATTGTGTCCTGAGGTGTGTGCGTATTGCTAAAAGTCTTTGAACACCAGCTGCTCTGTTGTAGTTGTATTTTCTTGGGTCTTAACATACCCTGTACATGTGTCACCAGTAGAGAAGTTCTTTTGGAATGTTGTTAGTAGAGAAGTCTCTACTCTGTGTGTCACACTGCATGGTTGTGTCCTTCACCTCGTGAGGCCTCTCCCATTCTGTGCTCTTTATAGCCCAGTAGTGCCAAGCAGCTCCATCCTCAACCTGAACCAACTCCCTGGTCCTACACACAATGCCACTGACTTGTTCCTGGGTTTGTCTGAGGCACCCATGTGTGTGGACTTCCCTCCTCCCACCAGAGGTAACATGAACTTCACCAGCACTTCTTGTTTTCAGGTTGTTGGTATGGAGCCCAGAATGAGGAGGCACCTTCTGAACTCAGCGATTTTTTACAAGGAGTGTCACAGGTTAGGACTCCCAAGGCAGGTGTGTCTCCCCTGAATGCTCATCCTTGTGAGCTGTGTGGTGTGGACTTGAGAGACATTTTGCACTTGACCGAGCACCAGGGAACACGTCATGGGCAGAAACTGTTCAAGATTGGGACATGTGAGAAACAGTTGGATGTCAGTACAGACCTTCAGCATCAGAAGCAGCACGTGAGAGAGAAGTGCTTCAGAAGTAACGCTTGCAGAGTCTCATTTGTAAAGGACTGCAAATTCTGTGTGTCAGGGAAGCCCTTTTCCTGTGGGGAGGTTGTGAGGGACTTCCTGGCCAGCTCAAGATTTCTTCAGCATCAGGCCATATATACCAGGGAGAAGTCAAACAGGAGAACTAAAAGTAGGGTAGCCTCTCACAGGGGAAAAACCCTGTCTGACTCTGGAGAATATATAAGAGACTTCAGTTGCAATCGCACGTTTGTTCAGCACCAGAGAACCCTCACTAGAGAAAGAGGCTACATGTGCTGTGAATGTGGAAAATTTTATAGCAAAAGCTATAGCCTCAATGACCATTGGAGAGTTCACACTGGGGAAAAGCCTTATGAGTGTGGGGAATGTGGGAATTCCTTTAGGCAAAGCTCTAGCCTCATTCGACACCGGAGAGTTCACACTGGAGTAAGGCCTCATGAGTGTGACCTATGTGGAAAATTATTTAGCAACAAGTCCAACCTCGTTAAACATCGAAGAATTCACACTGGAGAAAAGCCATATGAGTGTAATGAATGTGGGAAGTCCTTTAGTGAAAGCTCTGCACTACTTCAACACCAGAGTGTTCATACTGGAGAAAGGCCTTATGAGTGCAGTGAATGTGGGAAATTCTTTACCTACCACTCCAGTCTCATAAAACACCAGAGAGTTCACTCTGGGTCAAGGCCCTATGTGTGCAGTGAATGTGGAAAATCCTTTACTCAAAACTCCAGCCTCATTGAACACCACAGAGTTCATAGTGGAGAAAGGCCTTATAAGTGCAGCGAATGTGGGAAATCTTTTAGCCAAAGTTCTGTGCTTCTTGAGCATCGGCGAGTTCACACTGGAGAAAGGCCTTATGAGTGCAGTGAATGTGGGAAATTCTTTACTTACAGTTCTAGTCTCTTAAAACACCAAAGAATTCACACTGGAGAAAGGCCTTATAAGTGCAGTGAATGTGGGAAATTCTTTACTTACAGTTCTAGTCTCATCAAACACATGAGAATTCATACTGGAGAAAGGCCTTATGAGTGTAGCGAATGTGGGAAATCTTTTAGCCAAAGCTCTGCACTTCTTCAGCATCGGAGAGTTCACACTGGAGAAAGGCCTTATGAATGCAGTGAATGTGGGAAATTCTTTACTTATAGCTCTAGTCTCTTAAAACACCAGAGAGTTCACACTGGATCAAGGCCTTTTGAGTGTAGCCAGTGTGGGAAATCTTTCAACCATAGCTCAAGCCTCATTAAACACCGAAGAGTTCACACTGGATAAAGGCCTTTATTTACCTTCAACTTCAGGCTCCTAAACCACCATGTCACATTGGATGAAGGCCTTATGATTGTGGCAAATGTGGGAAATTATTTACCAAACTCAAGCGTGTTTACATCCAGAGAATTAACATTAGAGAAAGGCCTTAAAAATGCAATGAATATGAGAAGGCCTGCAGCTGAAGGACTTGCCTTATTGGATACCACACTTTTTTTGGTAAGGATTTGGGAGCCATATTTAAATATATGTATAAACCCACTGTTAATCTTGGGGATTCTATTCACTGTTTGGGGTACTTTGTAATTAACTGGGTTTGCTAGCATGAAGGGGTGCAGTGTTGGTTGGGATCACAAACTTTGTGCCTCAGGATATAGTATGATGGCAGACTATACCTCTTCAGTTTTGGCCTAGTTTGCATTGCTGCTCAAGCCTTTAAGGAAAGACTACAGAGCTTGTTGGTCCTGTTTTATAGCTTGGATGCTTTGACTTTTGTTGGTTCAGAGTTGAACATGAATTGGGGGTCCTTTTAACAACCTTCACTGCTTCTGAGAGCAACATGAACTTCTTCTCTTGTTCACAGGGGCTGTTGTATCCTGCTCAGCATTGGTGACGGAACATCTGTCCCCACAGGTCCTGCAGTGGAACTGTGGACTCTGATGTCCTGAATTCTGTAGGGCAACATCACTGGTTTTAAAATTACAGGGGCAGGAGAAGGGTCATTGTTGCAGAAACACTGGGTTCATAGAGAATGGAAGAGACCACCACAAACTGGTTAGCATGCTCCTTTTATTTATACATGCATTTCATTTCATTTTGTAAAATACGGCTCTCCTAAAAGTCTGCAACACTTAATCCCTATGGCTGTGAAGGATTTGCAGGTACAGACATTCTTGGGCCTTCCTGAACTATGTATCTTGTGTAGCTGTGGGTCCTGTCAGAGAAAATAAAGGTTTTGTGGATATCTGTGGCCTGCCTGGCTGTTCACATAAGACCATTGCTGTGCAATAACATGAGAGAAGCGAGATCTCAGTCCAGCCATATGGCTTTTGTGGCCTAGTCACTGTTGCTGTAAAAAAGTGAAAACACCCTTCACTGCTCACATTTTTTTTTTTATTAAAGAGAAAGGAAGAAGTTGAGGAAATTTGATGTGACTGAGAAACATCGATCAGTTGCCTCTTGACTGAGGATTGAACCTGGAACCTTTTTGTGTACAGAACACTCCAACCAACTGAGCCACACCAGCTAGGCCCTTGCTCACCTATTGCTGCCACTGATGCAAGTGTCTTTCTCGTGAGGACAGGGAATACGGAGTCAGTATAGTTGCCAAACCTGATTTTCTAAAGGGTAAGCAATCCAGACTTAATTAGAACCTATTTGAGATTCATCAGTGGTACTTACCTGCATAGTTTGTTGTTTTTATATTGCTTAGAAACGGTACATCGATATACCACTATTCACCTGCTTGTGGATATTTTGTTTCCAATTTTGGCCATTGCTAAAATTGGACAGTTCATATTGATATGTTCCCTTTCTGGTGTTAATACCTGAAAGTGCAATACCTGAGTGAAATTGTAGGTGAATGTATAACTTAAACACCAGCCTAGCTGGTGCGGTTCAGCAATTGAACGTTGACCTATTATCCAGGCAATTACAGTTCAATTCCCAGTCAAGACACATGACCGGGTTGTGGGCATGCTCATCAGTGACTCTTTCATCATTGATGTTTCTGTTTCTCTCTCTCCCTTCCTCTTTGAAATCAATAAAGATATATTTTTAAAAACCACCAAATTGTCATCTAAAATGATCTTTTGTATTCCTACCAGCAGTGTATGTGGGTTCCAGTTCTCTGATGTCCTTGCTAATAGTGCATTGGGCTAATCTTTTAAAATTTTGACCCTTTTAGTAAATGTGTACAGTCTCTCCCTCTGGTTTTGCGTTTCCCTGATATTTCATGGTGTTGAGCATAGCTAGTGTTTAAGAAATACAAGGGAATGGTGAGCTTGTTAAGTAGTGTGAAAGAAATCAACAAACCAGATCTAGATTGTTGCAAATTTTAATGGACAAATGGCTTCACATCATCAGGAGAATAATAATTAAAAAATGATAATGGCCCTGGCCTGTGTGGCTCAGTGGTTGAAGCATCACCCCGAGCACCTTAGGGTCAGTCTCCCCCACCTCTCTATAAAAATAAATGGAAATATAGGTTACAAGAATTCCAAGATACACCTAAAAATTACCTATGGATAAATTTTTTTAAAAATTTAAAGTTTTTATTGACTTTAGAGAGAGGAAGGGGGAAAGAGAAAAAAACATGGAGAGGCATTGATCGGCTGCCTCTTGCACACCCCCTATTGGGGATCAAGCCTGCAACCTGGGCATGTGCCCTGACTAGGAATTGAACCTTGATCTCCTGGATCCTAGGTTGACTCTCAACCATTGAATCATGGTGGCAAGGCTTCTAAGGATAAATTTTGTATCCACACATCTATCTTCATTGAAAGGTGAATACAACTGACAAAATCTAGCACTGATGACAACGTATAGTTTTAAATATATATTTTTTATCGTCACCTGAGCACATTTTTTCCATTGCTTTTCAGAGAATGTGGAAGGCAGGGAGAGAGAAACATCAGTTGGTTGCCTCCTGCACGTGCCCTGACCGGGGGTTGGGGATTGAACCTGAAACCAAGGTGGAGTGGGAGTCAAACCCGTGACCCTTCAGTCTGAGGGCTGGCACTCCAACCACTGAGCCAAACTGCCTAGGGCTAATTTTACCTACTTTGATTTTATGTTCCAGAGTTTTGTAAGGGCCCTTACATTTTAGAAACATGCTGAAGTTATGTGTGGAATGATACAGTGTCTGGGATTATAAATAATGGGGACAGATGAAACAAGAATAGTATGACAGAATAATGACTTCTTAATAGTCTTTTTAGCGCTGCCGGGTGTGGCTCATTGGTTGAGCATTGACCTGTGATCCAGGTCAAGGTTCGATTTCCAGTCAGGACACACTGCCTGCTTGATCTCCAGTGTGGGGCGTGCAGGAGTCAGCCACTCAGTGTTTCTTCTCATCTTTGACGTTTCTACCTCTTCCTTTCCCTTCCCCTCTCTGAAATCAATAAAGACATTTTTTTAAAAAGGTCTTTTCTATTTCTAGATATATTTGAAACTAGCCATTACGAAGAGTAGACTATGTCCTGAGTAATTTCATATGGTTTGAAGGACACATTTAAAAGAGCAGGAGGGCCCTGGCCGGTGTGACTCAGTTGGTGCTTCTTCCCTTACACCAAAACGTCACTGGATAGATTCCGGGTGAGCGCACACACCTAGGGTGCAGGCTTGAACCCTGGTAAAGGCCCAGGAGGCAACCGATCCATGTTTCTCTTCCTTACTGTCTCTGAAAAAAAAAAGAAAAAAAAAGTATCCTTGGCCCGTCCGGGCATGGCTCAGCGGTTGAGCATCCACCTAGGATCCAGGAGATGGGGGTTTGACTCCCGCTCAGGACCTATGCCCGGGTAGCGGGCTGCAGCTGATCAATGACTCATCATTGATGTTTCTATTTCTCTCTCTTCCTCTCCCTTCCTTCTCTGAAGTGAATAAAGATATATTTAAAAAAACAAAAAAGTTTCCTTAGATGAGAATTCAAAACGTATACTGTTGAGAGAGCAGCACTTTCTGCGGCACCTGCACCAGCGGAGACGCCCAGCTTCTACTGCCGAGCTCGGTCCCCTCTGCTCCCCATGTACACTCGCTGCCTGTTTCCCAGCTGCAACACTTGGGGCTTCTGCTTCCAGGGTAACTTTTTTTTAACGCTTGTTTCCGCTCACTTTGAAAGGCCTTTTATTTTTCTGTTAAGGAAACCCAAGGTTTCCAATCCTCCGGGATCAGCCACCTCTGCAGGTGTTTACACGGCGGCCCTCAGCCTGCCTCCCTCTCCTACCCCCGTCACACGTCACACCACGTGTCACCCACGAGCGCCTCACGGTCCCAGATGCAGGACCTGACAGGCGCCCGCACCCGAGCCGGGTTCTGCGGCTGAGGCCCGGGCGGCCCGGGAACGCGCACTGACCGCCGCCGGGCGTGAGAAGTCCCGCCCCACCCAGACGCGCAGGGCCGGAAGTGGCAATGTAGTCCCCATCGCCCACGCGCCGGGACTCGGGTGTGTTACCCGTAAATCCCAGAACCTACTGCGGAGCCCAGCGAGGGTCTCGTCCTTCCGCCGCTGCTCGGGGGTGTGAACCGAGGCACCGCCCGGGACGCTCGGATGCCCCAGACGGTGAAGTTGCTTCCGCGGCTCCTCGAGCCTCAGACCCAGGGGCGGCCGCCCTGCGGCCCTGTTCCTGGAAGCAGCGACCGTCAGCCGACAGCTCCTCCGGTGCGGTCGCCTGGCGCCTCGTTGGCGGGGTCAGGACGGGAGAGAACGGACTCCAGGCCGGTCGGCCCCGGTGCCAGGTCGGCATCTTGTCTGTCTCCGTGGCACACGAATCCCAGGAGACCACGGCCAGGGTCCTGGAGTCCCGGCCACGCCCTGCCCCGCTCTGGGTTCGGTCACCACACGGGCCCATTCACCGACGTCCCCGGAAGGCCTCCCCACCCCGGGCGTACAGTCGCCGGTGGGCTCCTGGCGCTGGAAAGCTCTGCTTCAAAGTTCTGAGGCTCAGAGCTGCCATCGCTGTTCCCAGACAGCTGGTTTCACATGGGAGCCTGCTGGGAGGGTCGTGCGTGGGGTTGGGGTAGGGGGTCACTGGCCCGGTGGGTTGGTTTAGGCCTGTGCAGGAGGAAGGGGGTTCGGCTTCTGTAGGACAAATGGGGACTCTGTCTCTGAAATACAGCATTCAGGAGAGAATGAGGGGCGGGGAGATCGGGAGGACAGGAAGGATGGATGGGGGAAGTTGAGGAACATCCACGGGAAATTTGTGGGAAGAACACGTGCGACATGAGGATATGGACATCTGCAGTGACACAGAAGGGCGCGGAGACTGAGGCCCGAGTTCCTTGCCAACCTTAGGGTTTTTCACCTAAAATATGATTCTCAATTTTGAGACCCTTGTACAATGTCAGCTGAATGAGTTGCCGGAGTGTTAGAGATGAACTTGGGTAAACTGGGAGAGCTTTACTGCTTCAATGAGAATGTGTTAAGCATGTGTGTAACATCCTTTGTACGAGATGCACGTAAGAATTTTATCAGAAAACCTGCCTGCATAGAGCCAGTGTGAGAGCTGATAAAGACAAACATTAGGCAACCCATGCACCAAGAGGCCACCAGTTGGATTCCCAGTCAAGACACATGCCCTGGTTTCCAGCTTGATCCCCAACTGCAGGAGGCAGCCAATCCGTTTCTCTCCCATCAAAGTTCTTCTCTCCCTAAAATTAACAATATACATATATATATATATATATATATA